TTTCCTTAAATTATATTTTAATTTTTTATCTAGTTGCAATTTTTTTTTATTATTATTATTATTATTATTTTTTTTTTATATTAAACCTTTTAGAAAAGTAATAAATTAATGTGAGTAGGTACAAGTTTAAGTTTAACTATTAATATTAGTTGGTACAAAATATAATATAACTTATACAGAGAAAACAAAAAATAAAAATAAAAAAGTATTTAATTATTTAAAATATATTAATTAATACAGAACAGCATAAAATAAAGTAGAGAGGAAAAAATTACCAATTAAATTTTACACAGTTACTTATAACTTACTGTAAAAATCCAAAACTTAAACATAAATAATATTCTTACCTTTAACTTCGATGATAGGTCTATTCATTCTTATACTAAATCCAATAATATTAAATTGGTTTTGTTAAACACAAATTTTTTATGTTGCACATTAAAAGTAAAAACACACGAGAGTTGTATAATATTAAATAGTTGGTAGTTGTCCTTTTTCTATTTAAAATATTAAAAATATTTTTATTATTCCGATAAAAATTATACACTATTTTAACATTTTATGATGAAAATTTCATTTAATAATAAACCACTAGTTAACAATTTATTATCAATGTATAAAAGCAGATGTTATACATTTATAATGATATCCAATATTCAACATAAAATGATGAATGGGGTTAATTTTTATTTTTACAAATCTAGTTTTAGTTTATAGGAAATAACATATATTTTTTTTTTTTATTTATTTTATTTTTTTTATTTAGGTTATTTTCAACTTTCAAGAATTTAAAAGATTTAAGATTTACATAAATCAAAAAAATAATACATTATTCAATTTGAATAAGAATATAATATAGTTATAACAATAAAATTTATATTGCAATAGAATTATTATGGTTTATTTAGCCTATAAATTTGTGAGGTAATAAAGCAAAAACTTAATTATATTTATATCATGTTACATATTGGTAACTTATACAAAAATAATGAAAAATAAATTTAGGTCTTGATAAATCCTATTATACAGTGAGTTTAAACTTAAAATAAAAATATAAAAATAAATATCGATCATGTTGAAAGAATAATATAGACAATATGCCAAAATACTCTAAAAGAAATCTAAACAAAAAAGTTAGAAGGAAAAAAAAAAAAGAAACGCGTATATAATATCATGAAAGAACATAATTATTTTAATGATAGTAAAAAGAAAAGTTGTCGATGGCCCGATGGAAGTATAAATTGTACTGAGAAGATAAAAGATTATGATGAACATGATTCTAAATTAGAATGGTACTTAGAAATAAGTTCAAGTGATGATGACGAAGATGTTGAAGATAAGCCTCTTTCCTATTTATTAAAAAGAGAATTTGAAAAAGACTTGATAAAACAGGTGAGATTCTGTTTAGTTATTTTTTAAATGTGTCTGCATTATAATTAATGTTAACAACTTTCAGAGCAAAATTAAAATTTGTTCAAATGATTCAAAATCATTGAATGAAAACCAACTTTGTGATGAATCTACTAATAAAAATAATCATAGTCTGTTAAATACTTCTAATTACTCAAGTAATAATATAATTAGTGAAAATCATGTAATCAATGATGGAAAACAAAGTAAAATTGTACAAATAGTTCCATTAACTAATACTGCAACCATTATACAGAATCAAAAGATTACAAATGGTGGGTGCTTATAACTATAATTAACTTTTAGAAGATATGAATTAAAAATACTTTTCTTTGGTACAGAATCTCAGACAAAATTGCTCGGTCAATCATGCAAGGAACTTAATTATAAAAGAGCAAACATTGATCTCAACGATTCTAATGAGCAAACATTTTCTTCGAGCTCATCGGATACAAACAATGCAATATTTGGGATGCAAGCACACTCTTCATATAATAATGTTACAAAAACATCTCCAAAAAATGTAATTATGAATTATCAATACTAATATATATTATTTTAAATTACAGTGCTATAGTATATTATAGTGACCAGTCGATGTAAACATTTTTATTATTAAGGAAGAGAGATGGTTCAGATTTAATAAAAGTTTTTATTTCATGAAATTCATACATTTTTATTCCTCTTAATGGCAATACTCATGAGTAGGTCTAGTTAAGGCATAAGCAATGGTGGCCGTAGTCTACAGAACCGTTATCATTAATCAAGGATTTGAAAAACCAACTTCAATATTTTTGATTAAGTACAAACGGTTATGATAATGAATAAATGTTAGAAAATAAGATTGTATTTGTACCTAAAATCATCTGGCTGCGGAATTTGAATTAATTATAATAATTATTTAGGTATGTCAGAACATAGAACAGTGGGACATACAATTTTTAATTTATTATATACATATTCAAAATAAAATAAACTCCATGAAATCTAATTTTTAATGTTTTACTTTGAGTTTATGTTCATGATCTTATATCATTGAATAATGATAGATTTTATACTGACTAAAATATGTAAAAGTTAGTACAATTAACATAATTTCATTATAAAAAATGTATTTTTACCAAGAGCTAGTAAAATAAGAGCATTATATTTTTTATGCTCTATGTGCTTTTTAGATGTAGGTCTGCTCACAAACTTAAACTAGAAAGCAAAATCAAAGATTACTGATTACTCTTTAAGTTATTATATAAGGCATAGGCATATTATTGAATAAGTTACCTTAAAAGTCTTAAAAGTAGTTAATAATTATATAATACTATATCATATGTGTATTGAATATTATATGAAAAATAATTTTATTTACAAATATTTGTTATATGAATTTTTTTTAGGTATGTCCACCATTTCAATGGATTCATTTAATATATTTAGCTATAAAAAACTCCGCTACAGAGAATGTAACTTGTGTTGAAATACAAAAATTTGTCAGGTACTTAGTATTTTCTTAAATTCAAATATTTTCTTTTGTTTATTAATAATATATTAATATTATGCTTGTATAATTTTTAGATATTGGTTTCCCTATTTCAAGAACCAATCATATATTGGTTTTATTAACTTTTTAGTAGATCGTTTAAATTACTTCCATGAAGAATTTTTTTCGTTGTAATGCATTACCAATTATTGATAAAGAAAATACATGGACTATTAATAGTGTCCATATAGATGCGCTGGAAAAAAGTTTAATGACAGTTGTTGAAAATAATGAATATGAAATAAAATCAGCAATGACTAATCCTGGTACTTGTATTAATATCTTATATGAGGAATGGGCAAAACTTTTTTAGGAACCAATAATTTTAAGTAAATTCTATTATGTAATACTATTATGTTTAATTTATGTGCAATACTTATGTGTGTTGTTCTAAACACTATTGTTTAAAATGTTTTTATAATATTTTACATTAGTTCCAGTAGTTTGCCCATCTCTTAACTCTAATTGTTTAATTTTTATAACTCAAATTTTAAAATTGGTCTTAAAGTATCTTAAAGTAAATATTTTATTCAAGACAACTTAAATGTTTTTTTTATTATACTATGTATGTTTTAAGTTATATATACAGAATATAATTTGGTAATTAATTAACTTGTATTTAATTTTAGATAAATTATCAGTACTAATAAATGGATACAGTGTACTTCATTTGGGATTTAGCCAAAATTTTTAAATTATTAATGTCTTCTGGATAAACAAAAATTCCATATGATTATAATCTGGAGTCTACAAATAAATGTTTGGCAATCTATTTAATAAAACGGTACTTAAGTTTTTAATTTAGTAAATTAATATACTAACTAATAGTATTGGTGGTTATTGCTTATTATTTATTTTAATAGCTAACCAATTATACAATGGATGTTTTATTTTTTAACGGATAATTAATCAAGTTTATATCTGCTAATAATAATTAACTATTTATATTACTATATATTAATTATAATTTATAATTAAACATTATAATATATTAGTTTCATATTATCATGAGTATCAGTAGGTACTTATGTAATAATATATGTTTACTCGACTATGAATATAATACTGTTATAAAATCAATAATAAAAAAAAAAACAATCAATGGGAAGAGAAGGCCATAGCCTCTTCTGGTTATGCCACTGATTTTTGAAAATAATATAATGCTGTATTATATGCTTTTAGTTTTTGATGGCAATTTATAAGTATTATATTTAAAGACTTGAAAACATTTTATAATATTTATTTAATAATTCCTATTTTTTTTAAACTATTTAAAGTACTGAACAGATGAATGTATTGATTTTACATCTATTTATGTATCTACGTTTTATTGTAAAAAAAATGTTACTACCTTACTTTAAGTTTCTATATAGTAGTTTATTAGGTTTAGTAATACTATTAATTCTTGATACTTAAAAACTAAATTGGAAATTATACTCAAAACTTGTTTTTAATTAATTTTATTTAAATTAAAAAATGAAAAACTATAGACTTGAAATTTTCAATAACTATTTATATTCACTAGATATGATATTATTTTAAAAATATTTTACTTTTTTATGCAATTGGTTGTAGATATTTAAAATTTGTGTAATTGATAAAAATCTGGACTTTAGGCTTATAATAAGTTGATCAGACCCGTGGCGGATCCATTGGTAGATTTTTTTTTTTTGGGGGGGGGATGGAAAGGCACCTAGGTCTTAAATCCATCACTAGATCAGGCCTTAATTAACATATTTAAAATATATTGAAAATACATTAATAATTTTTGTTTTAATTGTCTTAAAATAAAATGTTATTAAAAAATTAGTAGTCAAAATTCATAAAATATTTTATATTTATTTCTACAATCCATAAATGTAATGCAAGATTCTTTAAGGAATTTAGATAGTACTATATTTTCAGTTACAAAAATGAAATTGCTTGCTTTTTTTTATGAGATCAAAGGTTTTGATGTTATTGCAAATTATTATTATTTATTTTCTATTCATTGAAAATTGTTTTGTTTTTATTATATTCTAATATTCTAATTATTCTATTATGTATTAATATTTAATACTGATTTATTTTATAACTTGTAGATTAACAAAAATCATTTCATTCTAAATTGTTAATTTTTTAAACATTATATACAATTCAATTACAAATGATTTACAGTTCACCAGGACATGTATCATATTCACATACATTTATCTTAGAATATGTCTTTTATAAAAAAAATATTTAATATATTTTTTTTTTTTTAATTAACATTAAACTGTGTAATTAATGTTTAATGTGTTGAAAACTATTTTTATTAAATTTTGGATTTTAACTAATTGATACGTTCTATGTTAGAAGTTAATAACCATTAGCTATAGCCCTTTAAAATCAGCAGAAATTATATTAATTTATTACTGTATTAAATATACATAAAGTATGCTTATATGTTTGTTTCTAGTCATGTATCCAAATAATAAACTAATAAACTTAGTATATCTAGTCAATATATAAAATATATTATTACTAAAAAGATTGCTTAGTTTAAGAATGTAATTAGATTTATTCTTTATTGTATTAAATATTAAAGGTAGCTTCTTAAATTTAAGAATATGTGTTTATTAAACTATTACTACTATTACTACTATTATTACTATTATTACTTTATAAAAATTTTTCATCTATTATATTTAACATATTTTGATTGATTGTGTATGTTCCATAATAAATTGAATATTGTTTTAAAATTACATTTTTCATATTTTTTATTTTGACATTGTAAAATGTTTTACTCTTACATATTGGATCGAACGTTCCAAGTAAGAATAGGAGCTAACATTTCTCAAACTCACAAAATACTAGCTGGAATCCCCCAAGGCTTAGCTCTAGGTCTTACCTTGTTTAACATTTACTGTCACGACGGCACGACATACCAATTCCTCCAAATTCCCAGTTGGTGAAATTTGCTGATGACATAACAATATTAACCCAAAAGTCAAAACAACTCTTTAGAATTCTAAATTCAAAATCTCTAAACAGCTCTAATTACAGTGACCACCTGCAGGTTTAATACAGACATGGAAAATTCATATAAAAAAAACTCTCCCAAGGCTATGCAAGAATAAACACTCTTTATCTCTTAGTTAACTTTAAATCAATTTTCCAAGTGAAATCTTCCATTTTACCGTACACATCAATAGTCCGGCCATTAATCACTTAGACTGCTCAATTTGAGCAGCAGCTTCTTCAACTAAAATCAACAAATTCCAAGTTCTTCAAAATAAATTTTTGAGGTCATGTCTAAAAGCCTCATGGTTTGTGAAAAATAGACAAATCCACAATAATACAAGAATCCTTCTATTCTGAGACTGGATAAAAATTCAATTCAAAAACTTTCACGCAAATTTTAACAAATCTGATGACGCAGATAGAATAAAATAATATTTATATTTATTTATAATTAGTGCAGTAGTACCTACACTAGAGTTTGAATGATTTTTTAATTGATAACATAATTGAAAAAATTCTACTATTCTATGTATATTTTACTTATAAAAATGGTAATGGTATATTTAATGTTACACGATTAATATTATTGATAGTATCTCAATTACCTACCAACTGTTATACAAACAGTAATACTGTATTCATGACTTGGGTTTCTACAATTGTTTCATTTTAGTTTTGCAGTTCTGTTCATTAATTTATTAAAGATTTTATTTTTCAATAAATGTAAAATGATTATGCTCAATGAAGGCTATGAATATACAAATATAAACGTTTACTGAAAATGTTATAGAAAAATATTAAAAAAAACCAATAAGCCTGATGAATTTTATTAAAGAATATGTTCTGTAACATTAATATTATATCATGTTGTAAATTTATAATTTGATTTATAAGTATATGACTTATTAAAACATTAATAAAAACCTTTAAAAAAGTTATTTTATATAACTATTATCTAATTAAAAATAAAAATATATGAAATGTATGTAAATTCTGATGAACATAATAATTAGGGCTTGGAAGTTGATGCATTTTGCATTTTTTTTTTGGAACTTTTTAGACGATGATCTCCTTGCCACAAATCTGTTTCATAAGCATGTGAATCTAAATAACGAATTTTTATTTTGCATTTTTTGGTGTTTATTACTTTTTAAGTCATTTTCCCACATTTTTAGTTATTTTTACTGATTTCACACTAGTTCATTTCTTATCGTTTCTTGTTGACCATTATGCCGATAACTTAAACCACAGACATTTATAGAACAAATATTTTTTATTTTTTTATTTTCCTATTTTAAGGACATTTTTGTCATTTTTATGTCATATTTTGAATTTTATAGTAAAATAGAGTAAAATATTTTAAAAAAATGTATTTTTATTAATATAAAACTAATATTTGTAATTTTTTTTTGTTCATTTTTTGCCATTTTTTATTGTTTTTAAGGTCATTAACTTCTGACCCCTAATAATAATAGATATTATATAAATGCAATTAGTTATTAGTTCATAACTGTTTAATAAACATTGCTTATGTATAAAATTAGACAAATAGCTTAATTTTTAAAGAGAGTATTAGGTTATAAGTAAAGACCGGATTTTACATAAAATGCATGTTGCTATTTTTAACATCATATACATGCAATCACCTAACGATCCAAAAAGGTGTTGAGCATAAAAAACAGATTATAGGTATGTTTATATTATAATAAATATTTTATGTCTCCAAGAATAACCTTTAATAACTTATTGTTTTTCCAGTTAACATACTATAATGAATGGTACTTTTTTCTTATTTATATCATTAATGTATCTACTATTTAATATTAATAAAATATACTTTACAGTGTATTACTTAATGATAAAAAATTAAATTGCAATTTAACAAATTACATTTTTGTATTGTATATTTACTATATTATACATCTTATACTTTTTGTTTATGAAAATTAAAAAAAAAAAAAAATACTAAATAATTATCACAGCAAAATTAAAATCAAATATAAAATTTAATAAAAATTTTATTTTGCATGTCATGCAGATTTTTCACTTTTTGTTGTGCATATTAAACAATTTAAAATGCATATAAATCCGGTCTTAACTTACAAGTTTATGATTGATGTACTTCCAACACCGTTCTAACTCTTTTAACATAATAATTTATAATGTCTTTTAATGAAAGTTCATAGAACACTTACACACTTTTTCTAACCATATGATAATTGCATTTATTAGATTATTATATTTAATCAATATAATATATACTTAGACCACATTAAATCAGTTAAAATTATCCAAAATTTAATAACATATTTCTGTATAAATTGCAAATACTAAATAATAGAAACATATTACACATTTTAAAATAAGTCAAAATTGTCATTGTGTTAAACTTAAGTCATAAATTCCTATGAATAATGTTATTGTATAATAACAAAACATTTACTATGCATATTTGTTGGATTATTGAATATTTGAAATGTATAAAGTTAATGTGGATGGCTCAATAATAAAAACATTGAAAATTATACCCATTTCATTATGACATCAAACTTAAAATAATTTATTATTTACATCATATTTTTATACACTTAAATACTATTACGTTTGACGTCTGTTCCTTTTTATCTTGTCGTTTTTATATTATATACAATATATCTCCTACATTGAACAGTTAATAGAAATTTTTTTTTTATCTCTTATCCATCATAGTTTGAGAGTCAATTGACTGTAAA